CTTGTCGGAAAACGACAAAGTCGCCCCGTCCTCGATATACCTCCATATCCTCCTCCTCCCCAGCAACCACTGACATCATCATCCTCTCCTTAGTGCGTGACCATAAGAGGTAGGACGAGGTCAGCTCGTGGGAAAGGTGGGCCTGAACATGAGGAAGCTGGGGCTGCAGTGCTGCTTGTGGTGGAGTCCACTCCGCCAGCTCAGCATTAAAGTGGTACTCCCAAGGCAGCACAGGTCCTTCATACACTGGCAAGGCTTTTGGCCGAACACGCTTGGTCATCACTTGTAGCAAAGCTGCGTACGGCAAGCGGACCTCCAGGCAACAGTGGGTCTTGAAGGGGGAAGCCTGGTACTTGGACACACGCAAGTAGGGAGCCAGGGTATCACTGGCAATTACATAATCAATCAAGGAACCACCACCAGCACTACACGTGAAAGCAACACCAGCAGGAGGTAAAGCTTTCGCACGGGTCATCTTCAGAAAGCCACATACCTCCATGTGATCCAGGCTTATGTTGTAGTCCCCCATCAGGAACCAGGGAATAGTGAGCGTGTTCACGAACGCTGTGATTTCTTTCATCTTCAGGATGTTTTCCCCCGAGACTCCCAGGTCAGCTACCATATATGCAACGCCGACGGCCATCACACAGGACTGGGTACGGAGTTCCAAAAACATCCAGCCATTACCAGCACCGATGTCCCGAATCTGGCCCGCATGGGCCAGGAAACGTTTGAAAAACAGGCCTTTGTGCACCGCCGCTCCAACCCCACCGTGGGCCCCACCGCCAGGGGAAGGCGTGGCAGGGAGGAAGTGGGGGCGCCACCCAGCGGCGGCGACGTCACGCTTGGCCGACTTCAAATCGGCGGGGAGCTGGCGGTGTTCGGCGAACATAAAGGCGTCAGCCTTACCATACAACTGAGAAACGAAAGATTTAGCTAGAGCACTCCAGCTGGTTATATTGCAAAAAAAGGAGGCGCAGGCCAGACTCACTAAAGCGGCGGCGGCATCTCCGCGACCGCTGCCTTGAAGAGCTCCTTGAACCCAGCACCAACTTCTCGTTGCACACGTCGCATACGCTTGGCAGCTCGGGTGTGGGCTTTCTCGAACATGAGGGTCTCCATGCGAGTCTGGTCGGCGTCCACCATGGCTCCTTCCATCGAGCGCTTCTTGAGCGCAGCCAGTTCATCAGCACGATCTTGGGGAAAGTCGCCAGCCTCGGAACCAGCATCACTTCCCGCATCAGACTGGGCGCTGTCGTAGATCTGCTTCTGCATCTCCGCGAAACGCGCCACCAATGCATATGGGAGGTTGTTGGCCTGGCAATACTCGCGAATCTGAGAAACATCCATGGTATGCAACTCGGGAATGTCGAGATCCATGCGCTGTGGAGGTACAGCAGCAGGTGGCGCTCCATCGGGCGAAGCTGGGCGTCCACTCGTGCACGCAGTACCTTCATCAGTCGGCACACGCTGCGCAGGCCTGTGCGGGGCCGAGGCAGGGGCAGCTGCCTGGGCCACGCGGGCAGCCTCGGCCGCCGCTGCGGCCTGCGCATGCTCTTGCCGCTTGACCTGAACCCATTCTTCTTGAGAGAACCGAGCAACGACTTCGTCGGCCTCCCGCTTCTTCTGTTCAGCAGCACGATGCTCACCTTCCGCTTGTTGGTGATGGCCACGTGCTTCTCGAAGAGCTTCTTCCAACTTCTGGACCTTGTTGGCGCGGTGATGCACCTCTTGTGAAGCCAGGCGCACCGCCTTGGCACATATCTCCACCTCTTTGGTAAGCCGCGTGTGTTCATGCCGCGCAGCGTCAGCATACTGTGCCGGCGTCCACTCTGCGGATGCGACAGGAGGCGGAGGAGCCAGCGCACCAAGAACGTTCTGCAAGTCAGGGCGTGCAGCGAGCAGGACTGCAGCTGCAGCTCGTAGCTGTGGGTCTCCGTCTGGAGCACCTTGTCCATTCCCTCCAGCATCTCCGCCAGCGGGTTGGCCACCATCTCCTTGTTCTGCATCTCCGAGATACGGCCCGCCACAGCGGGAGCAGCACCAGTTGCCGTGGTACCTGAAGTCCCAGTGGCGACACGCGGAACAGACGTCATATTCAAGGTTGGAGGTTCTGGCAGCCTTCTTCTTGTTACTGCCTCGCCCCCCCCAACCTGCATTGCCACGCCCACTACGCCACGGGGCACTGCCGCGCCAGGCCATGGCGCGATCACTTGTGGGAGGAGAAACGAAAGGAAGAGCACACAGTGTGCCGTGTTTGCAAAGATGGCCACCTGCTGGCAGCGCGCTGGTCGAGGCGTCAGGCCTGGAGAAGGGGCTGCCCTTCCACCTCGCCTCGAGCCTCTTGAGCCAAAATGGCTTGAGCCAAATGGCTACGGGGAGGAGGAGGAGGAGGAGGGGCAGGAGGCGGAGGAGGAGGAGGAGACGAGGGAGGAGGAAGAGGAGGCTCTGCCTTACCTTATCGGGCGGCGGGCGGCGTGTTTTGAAAAGCAGCCGCCCTCCATCATTTGTGGCGGTTCAAGCTTTCATAGCAAATGCGCGCAGCGGTCAGGCGAGACCCCCACTTGAAAAAAAGGAAACTCTTAACACGAATATGCGCGGCGCTAATGCGATAGCCAGATGCGAGCCCTCCACGTTGGAAGTTCTCCAACCATGATCATAATATGTGAGGAAATGTCACGCGATATTTCCATACCACCCTACCAACACGTTTGGTGGTGCGACGAGGAAGAGTTTTCTATAGAGGGTAAGGGGTTATGATGATTAGAGGAGAGGGAAGAGAAGGAGGATGAAAAAGGATAAGGAAGAGGAGAAGGAGGGGTATGATAAGAGACGTGAAAATTTGCCGTGCTGACCCTTCGGCGTGTGTGACACGATTTTCCGTGTGGGTCGTCGTCGTCGTCGTCGCCGTCAGTGTCAGGGAAACTCAGGAACAATGATAATGAACAACGTCGTAGAAGTCGGAGGGGAGTCCTTTCCCTTTGACTTTCCCTGCCGGGGGGGGGGTTCCCCGGGGGGAGGAGCGGGGAGGGGTCCCGGGTGAGAATGCCTTCCCCCGGGGGAGCCAGTTCCCGGAGCCCCAAACATCACGAAATTATGCCAAGAGTGCCCCAAGAGGCCCCCAAACCGGTCTAAGGGCTCCGAATCGCCAAACGCTCGGTCCAAGACGCCCCCGATAGCCTCCAGACAGCCCAAGAGGCCTCCAAGACGCCCCCAAAGGCCTCCAAGAGCACTCCCGCGAGGCAAACTTCACTGATTTCCCTTTTATGTTTGGCAGATTTGGGCGTCCTCTTTTTTTCGGCTTCCCGACAGACGGCCCAACATGCCCCCAAGATCGCCACAAGACGGCCCAAGAGGCCACTCAAACGGCCCCCAGGAAGCCCCTAGAGGCCCCAAAGAGGCTCCCGAGAGGCCCCCAAGTGGCTCCCCAAAGGCTCCCGAACTGCCCACCAGAGGCCCACGAGAGCGCCCCGAGGAGACCGCAAGAGGCATCCCTGAGGACTCTGACACACGTCAGCGTCGTCATCGTCACCGCCGCCGCCGTCGTCCTCGTTGTCCCCCGTCAGGGCTGGCATCGCCGGCCGTGAATGCCTTCTCAGTCCGCCACGCTGCCTCGAAGCACGAAGTGGAGTTGCTCCCAGGCTGTCACGTGTTCTCTGTTCTCTAAGGAACCCTAAATAAGGAACGAGGCCCCTTCCTCCCATAAGTTGAACTTTCATATCCCATGGGAAACCGCAGGAAAACCGAAGGCAAACTGCAGAACAATCAAGGAACACCGAGCCCCTCCCCAACGACAAGGGTTCCTTCTTCAGGGCCCCGACTGTACTCAGGACTGGGGGATTATGGTATTCTAAAGTTCTGGGGCCCCAGATTCTCAAACTTCCTGGGCGCTCCCGCGCGCTCCTGGGCCGCCTCGCGTGACTTCTCCAGAAGCCCGAAGGCCCCAAGACGGGCCAAGAGGGCCCCAGAGAGCGCCCAAGAGGGTCCAAGAGGCTTCCAAGACAGCCCAAGAGCGGAGGGCCCCAAAACGGCCCAAGAGGCCCCCAAAGAGCCTCGAGAGCGCTGCAAGAGGACCCTCAAGAGGGCTCCAAAGAGGCAACAATCATTGCTGTTCCCTGTGCTTTGATATGTTTTTCGCGTTCTCGCGTGTTCGGGCTTCCGGCGCTCCAAGATGGCCCCAGAGGCCCCAGAGGCCCCCAAGGCCGCCGCCAGAAGGCCCAAGAGGCCCCCAAGAAGGCCCCAAGACGGTCCAAGAGGGCCCCAACACTGCCCAACTGGCGCCCAAGATCGCCCAAAAGGGCCCCCAAACGGCCCCAAGAGGGGCCCAAGAGGGGAGCACGAACCGACAATTCGAGCCTTCCGCCCCTAGAAGCCCACAGGAGGTCCCCAACAGAGCCCAAGAGGCACCCCAGAGGCCGCCTCCAAGAGGCTCCCGAAGAGCTTTCCACGATATCCCAACGAATGACCAAGAGGCCTCTAACCCGCAACCCAGGCACGGTGGCAAAATGGGCCGAAAGGCCACTAGATAAGGAGAACGGAAGGGACGGTGGAGGAGGAGGAGGAGGAAGAGGAGGAGAAGGAGGAAGAGGACGAGTAGGATGACGCTGTTGATGATGCTGATGATGATGCTGGTGATGATGATGATGATGATGAGGAGGAGGAGGAGGAGGAGGAGGAGGAGGAACAGCAGGATAATGAGAGGGATGAGGAGGATCAGGAGGAGGAACAGCGGGATGACGACGACGAGGGAGGGTGCGGATGATGCTTCTGCTGCTGATGATGACGATGATGCTGCATAAGAATAATATGATTATAACGCTGCTGATAATGCTGGTGGTGGCGATGCTGATGATTGTGATGGTAGTGATAATGATGTTGGTGGTGGTGCTGATGCTTTTGGAGTTGGTTACTGTGATGATGCGACTGTTGTTGCTGATGATGCTGATGATGATGATGATGATGATGATGATGATGATGATGATGGTGGTGGTGGCGATTTTCAACGAAGCAACGTCGACGACAGTTCGTCCATAAAAACAAATCCGTTGAATAGCAGCCAATGGAAACCTTTGACCTGGATTCGGTCGGGAAAGCCACGAGAGCACCGAAACGGCTCACGCCACAAGTATGCAGCGCCACCTGGGACAGCACAGCGCGCGCCACCCACGAGGCCGTGCCATCCTCAAAACGAGGGTAGACCACCGAAACCGCTCCCCAGCAGAGGTGTGCAGCGTCACCTGTGAACACACAGCACGCGCTATCAGCCAGGCCGTGCCACCCGCAAGACGCAGGTAGACCACCGAAGCCATTTCTTCGGAAGGAGCAGCGAGCAAAAACTATTGAGCAGAGGTGTGCGGCGTCAGCTGTGACAGAGCAGCCCGCGCTATCAGCCAGGCCGTGCCTCCCGCAATCGCGGGGAAACCACCGACGCCACTCCCTCGAACAGACCGAACAACACGTCTACGCGTGATCCAGGCCCGCCAATTCCTCTGTGTCAGGTGAGAACCGCACAGCCCGACTCGAAGGAGCAGTGTCATCATATCTCTGCGAGAAGGGCCACATCCAAACGTGAAGCTATCGCTTCGATTTGCTCATGAAAAAGTGCCGCGACTTTCGCCCGAGAGGGCTGCCAACCAGCGCCAGGGACAAGTAATGACCGGCCCGCGATGCTCACCACCGTCAGACGGTTGCCCACGAACGTGAAGACGATCAGCGCCATGAAGATCTGCGAGATCCGCCTCAGGAAGCAAGGGGCGACTCTCAGCTCCAGGAAGGCCCGCATGATGTCCCAGTAGATCCGCACGACGGCCAGCAGCAACGGGAAGATGATCACGATTAATTTGAAAGGGAACGGCGGCACTGAGTGGGAAAGGGTGGCACCGTCGGCAGTGCACCACCACGCCGTCGAGGAACGTTGTGCGGAGGCCCAGCTGAAGACCACGCATCTCCCGCACCAGAGTGGCGCGGATCGGCGCCACGCGGACGAGGCAGATCACGAGCACCAAGCCCGCCGAAATGCCGGGGACGGCCATCTCGACCACCAGGAGGACCGCCACCGTCACCGCGCTCGCCCCCTCTGCCCTCGTCGTCGTCATCGCCTCTGTCGTGGTCTGGTGATACAGCAGTCGCGCCCGCAGCCTGTTGATGGGCGGGCATGTGCTGATGTAAGAGTCACCTGAGGATCCTCTGTGCCCATGGTCCGTCACCACATACTGAAGGATGTTCGCTTCAAGGCGCTGCAGCAATTCGATCGCGGAGAAAGTCTGCACCCGCGCATCGGTGGCCTCGAGCAGCACCACATGCAGAACCAACTTATCTTTCTGAGTGTCTAGCTTCACCCGACACTGTCGCCCACCCTGCAGCTGTTGCACGAACCAGCGGAGTCGCGAGGCAAAAACCATCGCCGAGCAGAGGGAGCACCGCATGGAGAACGCGAGGGAGAGCGGGGGGTCGCGCGCGCGGCCCGATGGTCCCTGAATCGGCCAGTGCCTAACCCAGAATGGCTGTGATGATGGTGATGGTGATGATGATGGCCATAGTTACGATGCTGATAACGATGGTGATGGTGATGTTATTGCTGATAATGATGACGACGATGATGCTGATGACGATGATGCCGATGCCGATGCCGATGCCGATTGTGATGATGATATGATGATGATGACGATGGTGATGATGATGATGATGATGATGATGATGATGATGATGATGATGATGATGACGATGGCGGTGATGATGCTGATGCTGCCGATGCTGATGCTGATTCTGATCAAGATGACGCTGACACCGATGATAAGGATGCTGCCGATGATGATGCTTGTCATCATTAGTATTGCTGATCTCGCTAGTGTGAATAGTAGTATTACTATTCGTAGTCGTACTATTACTAGTCGTGTTGCTATTGTTATTAGTGGCACGATGAATATTCGGAGTATTAATGATAATAGTCGAAGTATTATTTTGTAGTAGCGCAATTTCGTAAAACTACTTCTACTGCGATTATTCGTGTTCGTCTGCTTGTACCTCGTATTAAGATTGCTACTCGCATTCTTAGTGTTGCGAGTACTGCTAGTTCTTAGTATGATGATGCTGCTGATGCTGCTGCTGATGATGCTGTTGATGATGGCGATGCTGATGGCAAGTCTGATGATGAGGCTGATGATACTGCTGATGCTGCTGATAATACGATGACGATGATGGCGATGACGATGACGATGATTATGTTGATGGTGATGATGCTGACGCTGATGATGATAATGCTGCTGCTGCTGCTGCTGCTGATGATGATGATGATGATGATGATGATGATGATGATGATGATGGCAATGCGCATGCTGCTGATGATGATGGCGAGGAAGAGGAGGAGGATCAGGAGGAGGAGGAGGAGGAGGAGGAGTAGAAGGAAAGGGGATGATTCTGGTATGATGCAACATGACGAGGGTAGCTGATGATGAGAAGGGGAAGTGGAGAGGGGGAGGAGGGGGGAGGGAGGAGGATAGAGGGCGGGGAGGGACGGAAGGAGGGAGGAGGAGGACTATCGATTCATCGAATGATCCGATGCGGCCGTACTTAACAAGACGCCCACCTCCCCTGGCCTCGTAGCCGCCCACCTCTCCTGGCCTCGTAGCCGAACTGGACGACGATGCAGCCGAACGAGACGAGGGTCAGGGAGATAAGAGTGAGGGGTTCCACGCAGCACCGTCTGCTGCATTCTTCAACTCTGCTTGCATTCCCCATCGCCGACTGCGGCGGCTGGAGGAGTGGGCGACGAGGCCGCGATTGCAGAGACCGATCAATCGGCGGTCCAGTTGGAACCGCCCCTGGCGCACCTCGGAAGCAACGCACGTCCTGCAGCAGCCTTGCCCACTCGGCGCTGGCATGCCAGTGTGCTGCTCCACGAGAACAAGCTTCCGCTGGCAGTTTCGGTCCCGCGGACGCGCCAGAGGGGTCTTGTTGATCAGTGCCCCTGGCGCCACTCGGCCCTTGCCAGGCATCGGCGACACGCTGCTGTGCCTTCCACCAGGCTTTCGATGGCGCGGCATGGACAGGCGCTACTTCACCTCGATCGCGATCCAGGGCGACAGGGACGAGCACCTCAGGAGCAGGATCCGCAGCACCCTGCGCACGAGCAGCACCCCCTCGCCGAAGGACTCGGGCACCGTCACCGCGAGCACGGACACCCTCGGCAGCAACCGACGAGCACGCGGAGAAACCCCGTGGCCCCGCACGTGCACACGGTGTGGCACACGGATGGGGGAGGGGGAGGGAGGAGGAGGAGGAGGAGGAGGAGGAGGAGGAGGAGGAGGAGGAGGAGGAGAAGGAGGAGGAGGAGGAGGCGGAGGAGGAGGAGGGCCCCCCGTCGGCCATCGCCGGGCACGAAGGCCGCGGCCGCGGAGCGCAGCGAGCATGGGCCGGCTGCGCTCGGCGCCCGCGTCCACGACACCGCCGGCGGCCTCGCCCGGCTGCCGCGCCTCGCGCCTCCCCGCGAGCTCCCGGGCCCCCCCGCAGCTCGGCCCTGCCCGACGCGGCCAGGGGCAGGCCAGGGGGGTCCCTCCAGAGCGCAGGGCCGCGCGGCGCCCGAGGACGTCCGAAGGCCTCGGGCTGGTCGCCCGCGAGAAGCGCAGCGAGGGCCGGGAGGGGGCGCGCGACCCTCTCCGCCACCTCCGCATCCCCAACACAGGTTCTGCAACGCGGTCTCCAACGCCTGCGCCTTGCGGTCGGCCACCGCCAACCTCCACTGGAGCTTGGCAACCAATCGGTCCGCCGAAGCCCGAGCGCCATCAGCACTGCGCAGAGGAGCACGTGCGGCAACTCGATCCCGCACCATTCTCACGAGCCACTGCAACACCTCCCCCAGCACTGGTCCAGACGCACACGGACTAGCCGGCTCGAGCAATGGGGTTTTCGACCGCTGGTGAACGGCTTAAGTCACAATGACTTGAACTAAGATGGCTCTGGAGGAGGAAGAGGAGGAGGGAGGAGGGGGGCGAGAGGGAGGGAGGGAGGCAAGGAGGGAGGGGGGGAAGGAGGGAGGAGGGAGGGAGGCGGAGGAGGAGGAAAAGGGGAAGGAGGAGAAGGAGGAGGAGGAGGAGGAGGAGGAGGAGGAGGAGGAGGAGGAGGAGACGGTTCACGAGGAGGAGGAGGAGGGAGGGGGAGGAGGAGGGGAGGAGGAGGAGGAGGAGGAGGAGGAGGAGGAGGAGGAGGAGGAGGAGGAGGAGGGAGGAGGGGAGGAGGGGGAGGAGGAAACGGGAGAGGGGATGCGGAAGAAGAGGGCGTCGCCTCCTCGACGGACAGCTCGCCGTCGCCGTCGCGGTCCATGCGCCGGAAGAGCGCGCCCAGCCTGCGCAGGCCCAGGGGAGGGAGGAGGAGGACACGGAGGAGGAGGAGGCGAGAGGAAGATGAGGAGGAAGATGAGGAGGAGGAGGCGGAGGAGGAAGAGGAGGAGGAGGCGGAGGAGGAGGACCAGTGCAAGCCCAAGACGCATCAACGATGTTGCAATGGGCCCTCCCGCCAAGTTCTTCCCTCACAGGTCCCTACAAGAGTTTCTTCTAATGGCGGAAAGTACCCCACTGGAAAACAATCGTCTGATAATCCACAGTCATGCCAAAACGCCTGTCCTGGGACCTCAACTCCGCGAAACAAAGTGATTGTTGCGTCCTGACGCTCGTCAACCGCGCCAGAACACCACACCTGGGACTTCAACAACGCGAACGAGCGTGAGTCTTGCGTCCAGGCAATCACAAGTCGCTTCCGGGCGCCATTTCTGGGACTTCAAGAATACGAATCCTTCAAGCTGCTGCGAACTTTTCAGAAGAATGCGCGCGGCGCTAGAAACGAGAGCCACAATTTTGACATTGAGCCGCCCTCCATTCTTGAAGATGTTACATGTTTTCAAAGCCAATGCCCACGGAGCTAAGGCGAGAACCGCATTTTGAAAATCATCCGTTCTCCGCGCTCTGACGATTGCACATTTCAAGTCTCATGATCGTAAATGGTGGGGAGTTCTCAAGCGAAACGGCTAGCCCTGTCGATATGTCTGGGCGTGTGACAGACAGGAATTAATGTTCAGAAACATGGATGGAGGAGGAATACTAATACTGATAATAATAATAATAATAATAATAATAATAATAATAATAATAATCCTAATAATGATAATGATAAGATGAAGAAGGTGAGTAGGAGTAGGAGGATGAGGAGGAGGAGGAGCAGGAAGAGGAAGAAGAGGAGAAGAAGGAGGGGGAGGAGGTGGAGGAGGCTTTCATTTTAGACCTTGAGGCCTCTCGCACTGTCAGGACGAAACAATTACAGCACTTGATGTCCGCTCGACATAAATAAAAGAAACGAAGAGGAGGAGGAGGAGGACGAGGAGGAGGAGGAGGAGGAGGACGAGGAGGAGGAGGAGAAGGAGGAGGAGGAGGAGGAGAAGGAGGAGGAGGGCAGGAGGAGGAGAAGGAGGAGGAGAAAGAGGGAAAGATGAAGAGGAGACGGATGACGAGGAGGATGGGGGGGAGGAAGAGGAGGAGGAGGAGGAGGTGGAGGAGGAGGAGGAGGAGGCGAATGCTGAGGCGGAGGAGGTGAAAGAGGAGGAGGAGGAGGAGGAGGAGGAGGGGGAGGAGGAGGGGGAGGGGAAGGGGGAGGACGAGGAGGATGAGGAGGATGAGGAGGATGAAGAGGAGAAGGATGACGAGGAGGATGTGGGAGGAGGAGGAGGAGGAGGAGGAGGAGGAGGAGGAGGAGGTGGAGGAGCAGGAGGAGGAGGAAGAGGAGGAGGAGGCGGAGGAGGCGGCGGAGGATGACGAGGAAGAGAGTGGAGGACGTGGGAGACGTGGACGCGGGCGTTCGCGCAACCGCCTCCGAAGGCCCACGCCCGGACCAATACATGGGGGGAGGGGGCGATCCCTCGCCAGCGGTCCCGGAACGCCGCGCCTTGCCAAGCGCCAGCCGTCTCCGTTCCGACCCAGGGAAACGACTGCCTTGGAGCTGAAACGCCGCACCGTCGAGGGGGGCACGAGCAGCCCGCGGCGCCCTCCAGGGAGCGGCATCCAGGACCGCGGCCGCCGTCCAGCGGCATGCGGCGCGGGGGCCGCGCGCCTCGCAAGGGGCGCGGCCGCCTCGCAGCGGGCGCCGTGGCCGCGCGGCACGGCGAGCAGCGGCCGAGCGGGGCGGCAAGCACTGGCCGAGCATGGCATCCCAGCGCCGTGCTGTGGCGCCCAGCAAGTCGGCACGCGGCCCCATCCGACCACCGCGGCCGACGCGGGCGCCGCCTGCGCCGCCCGCCTCAGCAGGGAGCGGCCATCGCGGCGGCGGAGGACGAAGGAGGGGAGAAACGAGCGAATGGGGAAGGGCGGAGGGGCCGACGACGCCTACGGTCCGAGCTTGAAAAACAGCGGCTTGAGCAAAAATGGCTACGGAGGGCGGAAGGGAGGAGGAGGAGGAGGAGGTGGAGGAGGAGGAGGAGGAGGATGAGGAAAAAGGAGGAGGAGGAGGAGGAGGAGGAGGAGG